GCTCCCTTACTGGGAAGCACTACCGGGCCCCGCACACACACCCAGCCCCGAAGCTGACAGCCTGGAGGTGGGATTAAGCCGGGCTTCGGTTAATCCCCTCCCAGCAGCCAGGCTTTATAAATCCCCTGGTGCCACCCATCTCAGCACCCAAGGGTGCCCCGGGGGCGCGCCGGCATGGCCCAGCAGCGCCGCATCCAGCTCTCCGTCCAGCGTCCCACCAGCACTGTCTGCGTGCTGGGCACCGAGCTCTCCCTGGATGTCTGCGGGTAAGCGGCTGTGACTCTGGGCGGGGAAAAATACAAAAAAATCTTTTCATTTTCTTGCTTTTATCCCATTAATTGAGCTGATAAAAATAGCTCGGGGTGGGATGGGGACAATGCCGCTGCTTGGGGTGGTTTTTTCAGGGGATGCCGAGCCCCGCGAGGAAGGGGATGCTCCAAATGGCGACGCAGCGGCCTGGCGGTGACCCCTACAAGGGGGATTTTGTAGATTTTTTGGGTGCAAAAAGCTCCCCTCAGGAGCTTTAAACGATGCTCTGGGCTGAGGTTCATATCCTGGCGAGGGGCTGCTGCGTCCTCCTGCAGAATCGAAATGTTTCCTCATTTTGGGGGAAGGCAGAGAGTGAAACTGCCACGGCGCTGCTGGCCGGGGCGTCACCTCCTGGTACCGGCTGTTTTAGCGGCTTCGCTGGCCGTGGCCCAAATTCAAGTGCTTTTTCAGGAGCAGGTTTTGGTTTGGTTTTTTTTGTTTCCTTAAAGCCGCTCACAAGCAGCATCTTGGGGTTTTATTTTCCTTAACGCATCCAAACCCACTGCACCGTCGCTGCCGACAGCGTCGCATCCTCTCCCGCTGGCCCCGGGGTGGGTTTTTCCCTTCCACCCCAGGGATGGATCCGTGTTTCCCTCCTCGCGGGTCAGGATTTGTGCTCCTTGGTCCGTCGCCCGTGGTCTTTTGCACCAGGGTGGAGCATTGCGAGCTGCAACCTGCCCAACTATCGCGGCTTTGCTTCGCTCTTACGGGGATGCAACCGGTCAGGGATCGCTGCCGGTGCTGCCACGGGGTGAAATGCAAACATTTGGGCAAGCCCTATGCCAAAATACATCCTCCTCCCAAACAGCTCCGGGGTTTTGCTGCGATGTAACGTCGCAAGATTTGTTGCAATTGGATTTTGGAGGGTTTGTCGCGTTTTGCAGGATTTGTTGCATTCGTATTTTGCGGGGTTCGTTGCGATCGAGCGTTGCAAAATTTGGTGTGTGTCGTGGGGTTTATCGCGATTAATGTTGTGGGGGTTTGCTGCAATTTCATATCGCAGGACTTGCCGTGTTTTGCATCCACTGACGCCATTGATCGTTGCAAAACTTGGTGCGCGTTGCAGTCTTCGTTGCAATTAATATAGTGGGATTTGTTGCTGTTGCTTTTTGCAGGATTTGTTGCCTCTGGCAGGATTTGTGGTAATCACCTTTTGCAGGATTTGTTGTAGTCGCCTTTTGTGGGATTTGTTGCAATTGCCTTTTACGGGATTTACGGTAATCACGTTTTGCAGGATTTATTGCATATTGAAGGACTTGCTGCAATTATCTTTTGCAGGACTTGTGGACGGAGGGACTTGTTGCGATTGCATTTTGCAGAATTTGTTGCGTTTTGAAGAATTAGTTGAATTTTGCAGGACTCGTTGCAATTGCACCTTGCAGGATTTATTGCGCGTTACAAGATTTCTTGCGCGTGGCAGGATTCGCACCACCTGCGAACGACCTCACGCTGTATTATTCCACCAACGCCCCTCGCGTGGGGTTCTCACCGGCTTTTCTTTCCCCCTAGATCTGCACCCAAAGACGCCGTCGCCTTCCACGTGCAGGGGACGCCGGGCGTGAAGCTCTACGTGGTGCACGAGACGCAGAGCGTCAAGTTGCCCTCCAGCGTGTGTCGCTGGCCCCTGGCCGCCGGCACCGAGGTGCTGCTGGCCATGGATGCTCTCAGCAAGGACGTGGGCGATGAAAAGGTGGGTGCTGGCACGCCGGCAGGATCCGGCCCTTCTTTGCACGGTGGCGAGCACCTGCTCCTCGTTGCAGGTCAGGATTTCTTATTTCAGGGAGGCCGGCGGGGTGCCCGTGGGCAGAGCCATGCTGTACCTCACCTGCGTGGGTAAGTGTGTGGGGGGGTGACCCCCAAATTGTGGCACCGCTGGGGACGTTTCCCCCCCCCCCCCC